CACGAGATAGATCGAACCAACAAAGCTTCTTACATGCAAATTGACGATGGAAAACCGGCCGATCCTGACGCCACAATTGTACTTCATTTGTACAATGATCACAACACCTGGCCAGCCTACTTGAGGAAACGGTCCTTCGTCGAAACAATCATCTCATACAAATGTCGTCTGGAATTCTTAAAACCATACGACAATTCTGGAAAACCATGGTTTGTTGACCTAGCGTCCTTGGATTTAGCCGTAGCTCGAGTGCTGTTGGCGCGTTTTCTACCTTCAAAAAGAGAGGAAACTCAAAACAAGGTCGCCCACCTCAACACCAACAACCATCCTAAAGCTGCTGCGCCATTACCTCCACGAAAGGCACACTTTCAGAAGCAGCCAGCACACCCAGCTCAGCCAGAGCAGCCAGAGCAGCCAGAGAATCCTGTACAGCCAGAGCAGCCAGAGAATCCTATACAGCCAGAGCAGCTAGAGCAGCCAGAGCAGTTAGAGTCTCCCCATCAGTCTTCCAAGCCTCCTAGGCCCGTGCTACTGGACACCTTGAGAACTAAGCTGCGAATACACAGTCGAAAAGACAAGTTCATGGAAGATTTCTTGTCCAAAAACAACGAGATGAAATCACGGCCCTCGAACTACAAGAAACAACTATGGGGTCTTGTAAAGGAAATACGCTGTGGTCCGACTATCACCAAGGAGAAGGCGGAGAAGATGTTGAGAGACCTGGAATGTCTCAAGGGCAAAGAGGGGCGGACGGAGGGGCATGGGCAGCCAGTGGTGGAGGTGAAGAGCTGAGCTCGAAGACATTGGTTTAGTCTTGAATGAGTCCTGGCGGTGATGGCTATGGCTTGAAATGCGGAGTTTCCGTTACTCTCTTTTTACCTCTATACTCTTTTTTTTTTCTTTTCTCCTCCCTGTTTTCTTCTTCCCATAGTCTGGCCGGTTGCCCTTTGTTTCCCTTGTTTCAATTTTCAATGTTGGTAATAATGATCCGTAATGGACATGATGGGAAAGTCTTCACAGGAATACAGTAGCGATGATATAACATCAACAGTAAAGTCGCGTTTTTCTTTATTCTCTGACTTAGTTAGCGCTGAATAATTGCCCAGGTGTACATATGATATATGCTTGAGTTTCGCAACACCATCAGCCGTAGCGAGCACAGTGCAAGTCAACAACTCTGAAGGGTATATTTGCCCCTTTTTCTTTCATCCCTTCCTCTTCTATATACATGCCTGTCTCCTATCTTCCTCTCTACAACACTAACACCTCTCATCAATAAAAACAGGCCTGATGGTGCACGCCAGGCGGAGTCAATGCCTTTCTGTGAGACACAATAGTAAGGGCACGTATAACGAGGAACGTTGAACACAGTGCGACGCAAACATCACCGGATATAGGGGACTATTACGGCAAAAAGAGTAGAGGTAGGTAGAAGTAAGGAAGCACAAGTAATCGTAGAACCATGTTCAACCTTCAATCCACATTTGCGAATCCGAACAGATGTGCAATTTCCCATACGTAATATGTCCGAGTGTCACCCATAGGAGAAGGGCTCGGAAATAGACATCACACACCAGAAATAAGGATTTTGTGTTAAAAGCGCGGAAAAACAACAGCACAAAGAGCTACCAGTGCTCCAATACTGAAATGAAACGTTCCATCTTCATATCTTCCGCGATCCCGCACTCACGACTTCGGCGACAAGATATAAATCTCCCCCTCAGCACTATTATCGCTCCCCACAAACAATCCCCGTCCCGCCGGATCCCAATTAGCAGCCGTCAACCTAAAGCAGCTACTCTGCGTCAATCCATTCGCCGTACAACTCCCCGGATTAGTCGCCGAAAAGATATCCGTATACCCCGTCCTGCTATCTGCGGGAGCAACAGGGTCATAACTCCCATCCGCCAACCTCGTGAAGGGTACCTGCACGACTTTAAAACCCGTAGGCGGCTGCCGATTCCATGACCCGTGGAAGGTGATGTACATGTTCTTGGCCTCGTCGTCGAAGGTGTTCCAGATGGGAGCGGAGTGGGCTTGGAAGGTCAGCCGGGGGGCAATGGCTTTGCCGTTGCAGGTGGCGTCGTTGTAGGAGGAGTTGGGCGCCGTGACGAAGTGTTGGCCGGTTTTGAGTCCGTTGGTGAAGGAGGAGGGGTCCCAGACTGAGAAGCAGGTTGGGTAGCCGTACCAGGCGTTGCGGACGGTGCGGGGGTCGCCGACTGGAGTAAGGAGAGGGGGTTAGTCGTTATTGGGAATAAGGGGGTGAGGAAAGAGTGGGAAGGAAGGGAGCTTACGGTTGTTGAGCTTTTCGGCTGGGTTGTTTGTGTGGATATCCCTGCGTTGGCCGTTTTCAGTGCGGGTAAAGTCCTATTACGATGTCAGAAGAGGCCGGAGGAAGGTAGCATGGAAGGGAAACGGGAGAATCACTCACATCACCGCTGTTCTCAACGCCCCAAAAGACACCGTTGGGATCAGGGACAAAACCGATCTCGTTCCTCAAGCCGTACCCAAACATTTCTCCCTGCGTGTTATAGTTGTAGCCACCCGAGGGAACATTGTTCGTATCAAAGACCTTGATGCAAGCACGACCAGTTGACGGCTGCTGTGCAGCCATGTCGAAGTTGGAGTTGCTGCCCACTTGCAGCAGGACCAGGTTCGGCTGACCTGGGACAACTTTGACGGCACGGGACGAGTGCACACCCGTCGACATGCCCTTGACAATGGTCTTCTGGTTGCTGACCTTGCGGGTAAGGGGATCGTAGGCCCAGCTGTAGAGGGTCGTCTCCGAAGAAGCGTAGAGGGTCTTGCCGTCGGGGGTTAAGTCCAAGCCGTGGTTAAGACCACCGCCGGAGATGAGCATGTTTGTACTGTTGATGCAGCCGTCGGCGCCAAAAGTGTGCACAGAAACGCCCCTGGTGTTTTGCTGGACGAGCATGTTGCCTTCGGTGTCCCAAATGATGGTCCGTACTTGCTTCAAGCTGCCGGCGATCTTCATGACGGTCCAGGCGGAGTTGACGGTGTATTGGTAGCGCATTTTGGGGACGCCGCTGCAGCTCTTGGGGAGTGGGAGCTTTGCGATTTCGGCATGGACATCTGTGAACTGGGGTTAGCTGCTTGTCGTGGCGGACACACGAAGGGAAATCAACCTACCGGCACCCAGAAGGGCCGCTGCCACGGTGAAGAGATTCAATAGACGCATGATGTTCGAGTTCTTGGGTTGCTGCAATCAATGATGCAGGGAGACCTTGCAACCGGAGGAGAAGTAGCAGGTAAATCTGGGAATCACGGTGGGCATGCGATCCCCTTCTATATGATCGACTCCGGGAGCAAAATTAAGATCCAGGGCCCGCCAAGACGGGACAAGTCAAGTGCCTCATCTAAACGACCGTCCAATTCCAACTATTATGCTGCTTTTTCGATATCAAAGCTGGTAGTATAACGTGATTGTGAAGGGATGTCGTGGGTTCTAGTGGCCAACCACTTTGCCGGGATAGATACGACCTAATATCGGGTATGATAGCCTGTTCGGCAGTATGGCTCCGAGCAGACACGGCAGTCGCTATTCTGTGCCGTGCGTCGTCAACCTTCCCCGCCGTTTACCCTCCGGGCTCGGGTGGGAGAATTGCAGGTATGGGCATCTACCAGGCAGGAAGGTGGAATCGAATGAGAAGACATTATCTCTAGGGAAGACGACCAGTTCAGATTATGTTTTTACAGTTGTCGGCAATGCATTAAACCTTGCTCAAAAGGTCGGCGTGCTGATGGGATAGGAGACGGGCTGCTCACAACGCTCCGGTCAATATCCTTAACATCCGAATAGCTTCGTCCCTGACGCGACGCCAGTCAGCCATCCAGTTCCGGATGATAGCAACGATCATAAACATCTTGAATGAACGCGTTTTGGATCTAGCGGATAGCGTGTTTGGCGTGTCGGTGATTTGCAGTCCTGTGGATGCTCTGGTGAGACTAGGTAGTGTGATGACGGCAAGAAGGTTGTGTGTTGTCTTGAAAACCACGATGGCGCTACAACGCAGCGAAAGAGGGGTCACTGGTAGCTCACTTAATGCAGAACGAGAACGGGGTGAGTGTTGAATGAAGTCGCAATAAAGTTTGAACTAGCTTGTCGTTCGTGTAGGTGCCCCGCTTATCACGGATGCGAATCGACCAAAGGCAGGGGCAGTCTGCTTGCACTGTGCAGCCAACACGCATTTTACATTGGCCAGCGAAGCTCGTGGACCCACTTTAAAAGGAAAAAAGACAGAAAAGAAAGAAAAAAGACAAAAGTCCAAAATTGCTCAAATGAGCGCGCATCCCACCCACATAGGCCTTTGAGTCGCCACGGGAGCTCCACTTTTATTTAGCAATCACCATCAAGAGCAGCATGCAGCGACGCCGGCCCCATTACAGGACTGAAGTTGCTTGGAACTTGGAAGGAGTATTGTTTTAACCCTGCGTCTGAGCCATTCCGGGTTCCCGGGATAATTCGGTAGGTGCAATACAGGTGTATATCCAACCTCCAGCGTTTGGACACATTAATATCTAATCCACTCGATACCAGCCTTCATAATATGTGACGCATGTTCTCCCTTTGCCGCTGATGATCTGAGGTGTTTGTATGTGAACCCCCGTCCCTAAACTGGACCTGCGACTGCATGCACTTTGGCTTCCCATTTCATGTTCAAAAGTGCCACTGTTTTCCTTCACATTAAGATCATTGTCTCTTGCCAGAGTTGCCAGTTGCCAACTGCCAAGGACCGTATCTAGCGTTCCTTCCTTCCTTCTTTCCTGCCTTCCTTCCTTCTCCGCGATAGGAGCCTAGTGTACGCCACCTAGGCCTACCTAACTTATCCGACACCGGACTCGGACGAGGTAGCAGGGTGGGTAACACGTACCCTATCCGCCTACGTGCCTGTCGTACCACACCTTCCTGACCCACCGTCACCGGCAACTAGCCCTTTATAAGCTGGTCCTCCGGAGGCTCATTCAACAAAAAAAAAAAAGCGCGGTTAGTATAGTGGTTAATACTCTCGCTCCCCAAACGCAAGTGCCGGGACTCTAAGAGGTGATCGAACGCTCATGTGATTATGCGAGCGACCCGGGTTCGAATCCTGGACTGCGCAATCTCTTCTTTTTTTCTTCAATCTTTTTGTTTTTTGTTAGGGTATGCACTGAGTCTAGGGTCAATAGGTACTCGCGAGTCACGGCCTCAACTCCTTCCTTCTCTTTACTCTATTACCTTCACTGACTTCTTCTCGCCATTTTTCATTCCTCTGCTATGCTGCTTCGGAGCCTCAGCTCCTTCATGCCAGGTCATTGCGGGGAAATGCCGAGGGACACTGCACTTCAATGCATGATCCAGTCTGTCGCATACATCCAGGAAGCTACATTTCAATCTGCGTACTGCGTGCACGCTCCCTGCCATCGTCTGAATGGAAACCGAACAGTGACTTTGGCAGGCAATTTCATTCTAGCGATTCCACCAACGTTGGTAATACCATCTTCTACTTGACCTATCACTGCCCTTGGCAAGTGGGAGGTGACTCAAGCGATATCCTTGCAGAAAAGTCTGGTGCTTGTTGTAAATGTGGATGGTTGTGCCGACGAGGTCATTCCGAGTGCTTTTGAGACACCAGCAAGGGGTACGGGTCTGAACTCCGTCTGAATTTATTGAAAGCAGTTCCTTTGAATGAGTCCCGCTCACGCAATATGATATGGAAAGCATGCAGAATTCACTCCTTCCCCAAGAAATTACCGATTCATACACCAAACCGAACCGATTCAGGCACTGACTGCCCAGCTGATTGTGAGGGCTGCAACACCCTTGGGAATGGGTAAACAGCTGCGAAGTTGACGCTCTGGCACGGAGAATTACATTTGTCTTCCCAAAGAGGAATAAAGAAAACGATATGATCGAATACAAATCCCATACTGCATAAGGTAGGTGTTGCTTGCTTGTTGGCCCCGGTCTTCGAGTGGGCAACTCGAAGCTGATGACGGTCAAGCAAGAAAAAGTGGGTCAAAAAAGAGGCTGGCACAAGCAGAATGAACAGAACAAGTAAGGTATTGAGGAAGGAAGCTTCTTCAAATTACTGACGTCACTACTGACGACGACATCGAAGACCAAACCAGCTTATCTCGTATGTCGTTACATGAAAAGAACAAAACCGCGTGAAAGCCATAACTCCTTTCCATGCAAAGCTTTTAAGACCCAAGTGTATCCTCAACCAACGCCGTGCGCCATGCCATGCATAAAATCAAAGCTTGGGTATCTTCCCTCGCTATTCCCTCCTCTCCATCGAGTCCACTCAAAAAGTCGAGCCCCAGCCGTAGGTCGTACAGCTGAGTCAGGGCATCTTGGGCTCGCATCCCTCAAATCCAGCCTGGAGCGCCCCTATTAACCGGATCAACCACAATCTCCACCCTGTCCCTAGAGGTAGCCTTGCCCTTGCCCTTCTCTTCCTTGCTTGGCTTCTTCTCCTCCTTCGAGCCGGCGGCACCAAGCAACAAACCCTTCTTCCATCCTTGCTTCGTCTCCTTCCACTTATCAGCCAGCTTCTCGCCGACTTGCGCAACTTGCGCCTGGAGCCGACTAGCCAGGCCCTCCTCGCTCCCGTCCGAGGTAGGGGTGCTGGGTGACCAGCGGCTTTGCGAGGGGGGTTCGACGTAGGTGGACATCTGGCTGGGGCCGCCTCTGTCCCCTGGGTGGGGAGTCGTAGTTGATAACGAGGGGCCAGGCTCATCACCGGCGGCGGCGGCAGGGGCAGGGGCAGCTTGAGCTTGGCCCGAAGCAGGAGAAGCGAAAAGGGGAGCAGGCCAGATGGTGTTGCCGCTGCTGTTGCCGCTGCTGTTGCCGCTGCTGTTGCCGTTGCTGTTGTTGTTGCTGTTGTTCCCGTTGTTGTCAACCTCATACGACTCCTCGGAGAACTTGGACGCCATATCCTCATCCTGCGACGGCTTGGAGTAAACAGACGAGCTCACGTTGCGGAGCGGTCTAGCAGGAGCAGGAGCCGGCGGAGCAAGGAGCGGGTACGAAGCTGGTACCGGCGACACCGGCGACACCGGCGAGGGCACCGGCACCAGCACCCGCTCCTGATGCGGCGCAGGAGCAGACGCAGAAGCAGGCGCAGGAGCGAGGCGAACAGTCCTCAACCTCGGGCCCCTATCCCCCTCAGCGGCCGGCACGACTTCGATGACCATCTGGCCAGGGCTGCTTTCGTCTCCTCCGCCTGCCGTCTCGTCCTGTTCACCCCTTGTTTGCGTGGACTTCCCGAGCGAGGCGAGCGGTATGTTCTCGAGACGGTAAAAACGTCCGTCGCTGCCGCAGACGGTAGCCCTGTCGCCGTTGGCAGTGATGGTGGTGGGCGTGGAGTAGAGATTCGCCTGGCGTTCAAGGCGGCGGCGGCGGAAGAGACAGAAGGCCAGAAGACCGATCAGCAAGAGACCAAAGATTGTGGCGCCAACTGCGCCGCCGATGGCTGCTGCCTTTGAGCCGCCGGTGCCGTTCTTCGAAGCCGCGGAGGCAGTTGTCTCCTCGGGCGCGGGAGAGGCAGCGGCGGTGGTGGTGGTGGTGACGAGGGTTGTCGGCACCGGTGAAGAAGAGTGAGCGACAGAGCCGCCCGGGTGGAAAGTGATGGTCTCTGTCTCGAAGGTGACAAAGACGCTGGTGGAAGTGACGGGGGCGCGCGTCTTGTGGGTGGTTGTTGAGGAGGAGGTGAGAGGGGAGCGAGGAGAGAGGAGGGCCGCCGGATGGTTTGTGCTGGCCATGGTTGAAGTTGTGGCGCGAGCCACGACGACGCTAGAGGTACCACTAGGGAGGGAGGTGTCGCTGTTGTCCTCCATTGTTGCTAGTTGCCTTCTTGGTTGAAGTGAAGGTGAGGTAGTTGTTCTTTTTGCGAGGGGCTCTCACGAGAGAAGCAAGGAAGTCAAAGACGAGGCTGGAGAACGTTTGGCTTGACGTTTGACAATGGCGATCGCTCGCGAAGTAAGTAAAGCTTCAAGGGAGGCAGGAAGTGTGTCTTGTGAAAGGGAGTTCCTCGTCGTTGTGATCTCCTTGTGGTCGCAAACGCGAAGAAAAAAGGTGGGGGAAGAAGGGAAGCAGGCGAGCAAAGCTGGCTCAGAAATATTGCCCTCAAAGATATCAAGCTCTGCCGTCAGCCAAGGGGAATTTTGACTAAATGACACACGTATTGTGCGTAACGGCCAATTCGCCGCCTGCAAAAGTTTCTTTCGTTGACAATATATCGGACGATTGCGATTGCGGACGCGAGTGTCCAGCCCCAGTCACGTCCGCAGGCCGGGACAATCTACCCTCGTCTCATCTTTGAGGGCAGGCTGCCGCCGTATCAATCATCCCCCTCCTGCGGCCTCGCTCATACGTCAATGGACTGACATGTACCCTCATACACTCGCAGCCTTCGAGCCGTGTATAACAGTCCAGACAGGAAGGAACAGAAACCGAAAGCAATGACCGTCACTCCACCCGGGCCAAGGAAAAAGACATGAAGAACAACAAAAACAACACCGTCCGCGCACGTAAATCAAGCAAGCCAAGCGACTCTTTTTGCTCACTCCTGGTGGATTCCGGTGTCATCGCATTACGGTAGTATCGGAAAGATAGGTAAGGTATTATAACGGGGATTTATAAATATGCAGCTCGTTCAGATGTTCCTCATATTGCGCCCAGAAGACCGAAAACAAATTCCAAAGATCCAAGTTCTTCAAACAAGTTTTGACAACGGCAGGACTGGATACCTTCACGTAGGTACCTTAGAGGTAACGCAGCAGGAATATAAGGGGCCCGTGTCCAGTCCGGGAATCTCCTCTAACTTATTAGGGGACTACCAGATGCTCGGAACTGGCCGTGGCGGAATTGCAGGCGAAATGGAGTGAAGTCAGACTCGGCATGAACACTGAAGGAGAAGTCCGCATCTTCGAAGGCAGTACCGAGATCTCAGAGGTGTTGCACATCGAGGTGAGAGATGACAAGCTGTTCGCCGTCCTCAAGGCGGGCGTCTTCTTGGGATGGGAGTTATACTGCGGGGATGGAGCGATTTCGATGACGAGACACAGCTGTTTCCACGACAAGAGCTCTTCTTGTCCCATATGAGAGCAGACACGAGACAGCGAAGGTTGTCGCTGAGGGTGATGTCGCACTCCATATAGGCCTTCTTAATATTTGTGCAGTGCTTGTAGTATTTTGCCTGACTCAATTTGGTTGGGTGGACGGGTGTGGTGATAGTCGCGAGGAGCTTCCTGACTTCGACTTTGTCAACGATGTTCATGAAGTTGTAGAACTCGTTGTCGGCCTTGAGTTCGGGTTCGGTAAAGGTGCGCGAGTTCTCGCTGATGTCACCTCCGTTGAACTTGGCGTGGCCTTGGAATAGCCATTTGCCCGCCTTCTGCGCCTTGTCGATGCTCGCAGCGATGCTCGCAGCGATGGCAGGAATGCCTGGCTCGCGCTTGAGAGGTAAGTAATTGTGGAGGTAGTTGAATCATCCAGAGCAAAAACACCCAGTGGACTAGCATAGTCGGGGATGGTATCTGAGGTACTTGTGCTGGATGGAGTATAATCACCTGCACCCGGTGAAGCAATATGGCTTAGTACCTCTAGGTAGGTAGGGACGTCATTACCAGTTGCCGGGGCATTATTCGACTGAGGGCCGGGGACATTACCGCCTGACAGATCCTCGTCATTGTCATCGGGGTCAATCCCGGGGATTGGCCAATTGTTAGGTGGCAGGTCGAGGTGATCTCAACGGATATCCAAAATCAATCGGTGGATACCCCAAAGAGCAGCACCCTAAAACTCAGTGGGATGAACCTACATGGGCGGGAACTTACTACTAAGTTCCACAACGAAAACCGCCCAAGAGCACGTTTTATGTTCTTTAGGTATATGCTCGCCCTCGTCGCGCTGAGGGATAGAAAACGGCAAGGGTGGGAGTATTATTATTGGGCTCGCTATATCACTATGAAACCCTTCCCTACCCCGGAGCGATATGCTAAGGAAGGCTATTTAATAGCCATAGCGGCCGAATAGAAGCTTAGTAACGACTCCTGCCTGGTGGAAAGCGATGCCCATTATGGCGTTGCCGAGGCTTGCCGCCATGCCCACGATGTG